GTGAAAGATAGTGCAGGAACTATAATTAGACCATTGTTTCTTCATTTTGAATGAAGTGATAATTATTAGGATATTTGATAGGCAGTTAATAATAATAATAATAATTGGTTCACAGTATAAATAGATAAAGAAAGTGTTTATTTTGTTCAATAGCCACAACAACACAAAGACAAACAAAATATATCAAATGTATAAAGTAAGCAATACTTAGAATAGATGAATCAAATGTCCTAATCAACTGCCTATCAAATATCCTAATCATGAAGAAAGAATGGTTCAATTATAGGCCCTGCACCACTGATTCACTGGATGCTAATTGTGGACAATGAAAACGTTTTCTGGTGGTTGAAGGGGGACGAGGAAGGTCACGATATTTTGCCTGTCTAATATCAGTAGGGTTAGAAAATTTCACTTCCCCACTATGATTGGTCACCCTATTCTCAGTGCCCACTTTTCAATTTCCACCTTCCCCCCTGCTAACTTTTGACAAGACCCTTATTTCGGTCTTTATTCCATTTCTCTTGTGCTATTAATTGAAATTACCGTTATTCCGACGACTAAACGTCAGGCAGTCGAAAAATCTCAAAGTGCCGTGCTTGTGACCGGGGCTTGTGACTATACAAGCTTGTCCAATAGTATTATTTCGGTCTTTAGTGCATTCCCTTGTTGTATTAATTGAAATTACGGTTGAACCGACGATTTTTCAAAAAAAACATCGACTACCTGACGTTTAGTTCTGGGACTAAACGTCAGGCACTCGAAAAATCTCAAAATGCCGTGGGCTTCCTGCGTTTGAAACTTGTCGAACAGTATTATTTCGGTCTTTAGTGCATTTCGCTTGTTGTATTAATTGAAATTGCGGTTATTCCGACGATTTTTCACAAAACAATTTGCTGCCTGATGTTTAGTTCTGGGACTAAACGTCAGGCAGTCACCCGGGCAGTCAAAAAATCTCAAAGTGCTTTGCTTGTGACTATACAAACTTGTCGAACAGCATTATTTCGGTCTTTATTGCATTTCCCTTGTTGTATTAATTGAAATTACGGTTGTTCCGACGATTTTTCACAACAAAAATCGACTGCCTGACGTTTAGTTCTGGGACTAAACGTCAGGCAGTCGAAAATCTCAAAATGCCGTGCTTGTGTTTGAAACTTGTCGAACAGTATTATTTCGGACTTAATTGCATTTCCCTTGTTGTATTAATTGAAATTACGGTTGTTCCGACGATTTTTCACAACAAAAATCGACTGCCTGACGTTTAGTTCTGGGACTAAACGTCAGGCAGTCGAAAATCTCAAAATGCCGTGCTTGTGTTTGAAACTTGTCGAACAGTATTATTTCGGACTTAATTGCATTTCCCTTGTTGTATTAATTGAAATTACGGTTGTTCCAACGATTTTATAAGAAAAAATTAGACTGCCTGACGTTTAGTTCTGGGACTAAACGTCAGGCAGTCGAAAATCTCAAAATGCCGTGCTTGTGTTTGAAACTTGTCGAACAGTATTATTTCGGACTTAATTGCATTTCCCTTGTTGTATTAATTGAAATTACGGTTGTTCCAACGATTTTATAAGAAAAAATTAGACTGCCTGACGTTTAGTTCTGGGACTAAACGTCAGGCAGTCGAAAATCTCAAAATGCCGTGCTTGTGTTTGAAACTTGTCGAACAGTATTATTTCGGACTTAATTGCATTTCCCTTGTTGTATTAATTGAAATTACGGTTGTTCCGACGATTTTATAAGAAAAAATTAGACTGCCTGACGTTTAGACACTCCGTAAAAAGAAACCGATCAAATTGCGTTCTTGCTCATATCCAGTGATTGTGTATATAATAATTTCCACTATACTAGCAACATTACAAAAAGGTTTCTATCATGGAATCATGAACTGTGGTATTGTTTTCTAGATGGATGTGCTTCAAAAGAGAGCGTTGTTGATTAAACCATCTTACAATGAAGCAAACAGGCTAAACGGCACCGAGAATGACGTCCAGAACGTGAAAAAGGTTTTAACTGGAAAATTTGATTTTAAAGAAACAGCTATCAAGGTACTGGAGTGTGTAGTAAACATATTATACTGACCTCGAGGGGTGTGGCGTAGGAAGGCCATAATACCGTTATATCTCTTTAGAAAATTACAATCTGGAACTCAGTTATTTATTCATATAGCGCCAGAAAAAAAACAAAAAACAAAAAACAAAAAACAAACAAAACAAAACAAAAAAAACAAAAAACTTCATGTGCGTACACAGAAAAACGTTTGGTCAACTAACAATTCCCTGCTTCGGATGCTGCAATTAGCAGTCTATTGTGACATCACTTATATCGATTCAATCGTTTAACCATCTAATGTAAATCATTATAGCAGCTTTTGAATAAAATTTACGACAGCCGATCTTTTCTTTGCCATATTTTAGCGTACGGTAACATTGTTCATTTTTACAGGTATTAAAGGACGATCAAGCGACCAAGAAGAACATCCTAAAAGAGCTCAGTGAGCTCACAGAGTCATGCGAGTCCCATAGCGTAGTGCTGGTGTATTATACTGGTCATGGGACATATCTAGAAGATTCACAGGATGAGGGACTGTGTCCTACTGTTTCCCAATGCCAAACAGTAAGACTCCTTGTATTGCGAGAAATAGTAACACCATTTTATATTGTGCAGTAATTGTCTACTACTTGCTTCATTACTAAAATTAATTTAAATTTTTTTTCGTATTTCCGGTTTTCAAGAAAGAATTGCCTTATTTTATTATGATGCCACAGTATGTTTACATTGGAAAACGATGTTCAAAAACAATGTGAATTTGGACCAATTTATATTATTTTTTCCAGAAGTAGAACTTCAATGAATCGTGTTTTGATATAGATGTATCAATGACTGCTCATGTACATTTTATTTGATGTGCAGTCACTCTGATCCCCTCTTGCCACCATCTTAACAAATATAGAGCATTTTCTTACGAGCATTAAAGTGCAGTGTCAAAGCCATTATAATTGGTACTATTGTGGATATTTCATTCGATCTCGTCAGACCTTATGCTCTCTAACTTTGGGAACCATTTTAACGCCAGACTTCGATGGCCGTTTCTTATCGCGTGACTAATCTAAAACTGACATTCTTAAAAGAATTTGAAAACTCCGTAAATTGCCCTATTTTTTGGACAACTATAAAAAATTCCTTGTTGCATGCTATACGACTCTCAACAAATGTCTTGTGTAATGAAACAAAGCCATTTGATAAGTTTACTCTGCACTATGACATAGTCTTCCCCGAAGAACCTCATCTCGAAAATAGAAGGAAAATGAGACTTTGGAGATCTCTAAAAACTCTGTACATATAGAGCGCCGCAAACCCCCTTGTACCAGTTTTACCCTCCTTATTTCAAACTCTAATGTCATTATGGTCTTGTAATTTCAGGAACCAGAGGAACCAAAGGAAGAGCGCTGTATTACAGGACAAGACCTGAGTCCTTTCTTTGAAGCATTAAGCAAAAAAAGTGTTTATTGTACAGTGATATTCGACTGCTGCTACTCTGGTCACCTATATCGCGACAAAGAAGAAGAAGGAGTGAAAATAAAACAGGTAATATAATTGCACATATTATTCTTAAGGCTCGTTTAAAATTGCAATTTTTGCAGCGAGATTGTCCCTCGACAATCACTACTTTGCTCTCGCGCAACTCAAATCGTACAAGTACACGTTAACAGACGCGCGATTATCGTGGCGATATTGTCGCGCGACCATCTCCTGGGTTTCGAATATGCTTGAAATTTAGCTTCAACTTCGCATCGATTTTTGCTAAAAAAGGTACAAAATTTACCTTCACTACCGTTCTGCGGAATTTTGCACGATTGAGCTCCGATATGCTGCTTTTTATCAATTTGCAATGTCGCGCGACCGTCGACGCGAAAATTACAGGGCTGTTTACAAGTACTATTTGAGTTGCAAAAGTAGCAAGTGTATACGGGCCTTTATTTGGCAATGACTTCATTTAAAAGAAAAACAAGTATGATGGGAAACAAGTCCTCAAGCCTTAATTTTTCGTCCCTGAAAATCAATCTTGCGAAAAATCCGGTTTTGCACATTCTTTTCTAAATGTCAGAAAGAGCTGACGTTGTTATTATTGTTATTGGTGGACGGCCTTGGGAGATTCCTCGATACCTAAGACGACTTTCTAATCACTAAAAGAGGGTAGCCCTTCACGATTTTGCAAGATCTTCTCCGATTGGTTTACTAGCTATTTGTTCACGAATAAAAGAAAACAATAGGATTTAAGAACGAGGGAACAATGAGCATTGTTTTATTCCTCCATTCACAAGAAACCTTACAAACTCGTGAAGGATAACAACAGTCAACTAAAAGACATCAGTTGATGAAGAAACATCTGTATATTCTGGATCTAAATGTCTCTATTAATGCATGGTAGTTAATTTTACCATTTTCTACTTGCAAACAATTTTGTAGCTACGTACAAAACCCAGCGCAACAGCGTCCAAGCATAAGAAATACACCAAGGCTGATCGAGGGGGATGGATACCTGGCGACAAAGATAATTTCTTTTACTTTGCGGCATGTACTTCCGACGAGTTGGCTAAGGAGAAAAAGGAAGGGGGATACCTGACCTTGGCTATTGCTGATACATTAGACAAGCTCCAATACCTCGATCAAGTCACTTATGAAGCTTTCTATAGGTAATGTGGATGTGGTCATTTCAGGGACCGCGGAGCGTGAATTTGTTTGGGGGGGCTAGCGGCGAGGAGGTGCAAGTGGGGTTTGGAAATTTTTGAGATCTTAACTCTCGGAAATGTCATTTCCAGAGTTTTGAGGCATTATCAAAGACATTTTTAACGCACACACTGTCAGTTTTTACACAATTTTTATGGAATATATATGGTGAAATTTCATAAGATTGCTCTTCGCTTCTTTATTTAAAAAAATTCAAAATGTAGGAAAAATTATTGGGGGGGCTGTAGCGCCCTAGCCCCCCTGCTCCGCGGTCCATGCATTTACTATCCATTTCTTTATCAGTCCACGCATCGTTCGTCCGACTGTCTGGACACTTTTTTATCCAGTTAATTCTTGAAATCTTATTAACCGCGAAGGAAGGCAATACATGAATCCATTGTGGATCGAATGCTCTCTTCAAAGAATAGATTTCAAGTAAAATTTTGTGAGCTTACAGGAGGACTCTAAACTTTCTTGTTCTTATTTCTGGGAATGGGATACTGAAATGAGATTCTGATGAATAACTGTTGTACAGTCTTATCTTTTTGTCTGTTTGTTTTCATACAATTTTGTGGATCTTAAGGTATCAGGGGGCCTTCGCGACTGATTTCACTTAATTCTTCATAGCAAGTTAACTATTCAAGCTATGACAATAAAAGTACCGTATTTACTCGAATAGACGCCCAGGCGTTTATTTCATTTTTCACGATACAGCTGCGGCGTTTATTCGAGGACGGCGTCTATTCGGCGTCTATACCCATTTCTGGTATCCTTATTTCCTTAAATTGACGCCGCACTGAGATGCGGCGTCTATTCGGGGGCGGCGTCTATTGATATTTTGAGCTTTAAGTGCGGCGTCTATTTGAGGGCGGCGTCTATTCGGGGGCGGCGTTTATTTGAGTAATTACGGTATATATTTTCTTAAGAGGAAAATGAGGGGAACAAGACTGTGCAATTTGTTTTTGGATTAGTGCTATTTATTTTTTCCAGTTTGCATTTTAAACCGTTTGACTGCTCTTTTTGAAAAAGTTCCTGAAACACCGGATTTTAACCAATTTCGTTCAAACTTTGCACACTTGTTGATGTATACCTTATGTCAAAGATGTCTCATCTTTTGATATCTTGCTGCGTTTTGAAGTCATAGCAACGTTTGAATAAAAATAGCTACAAATTGCGTTTTTCAACTTTGAAAGTGAATATTTCAACAGCAAACGCGTTAATCCAAAAAAATGAGACATCTTTTCGAGATCAAACTGTGCTCTAAATGAAGGCAGTAACAGTTTATTAGCACAAAGAAATCCGGTGTTCCAGGAACTTCTTAAAAATGACTGGTCAAAAATCATAAAATATCCACTCAAAAACCATTGATTCGTTTTTATCCAAAACAAATCACATAGTTACAATCTCCATTTATTCAGCTTTTAGAAAATGTATACTTTTACTGGGATATCTTTTAATAGTTAACGTTATACGAGAAGTTAATTGACCATTGGTCGCGAAGTTCCTCTGATACCTTTAGCCCCTCGAAAACGTTTTCTGAAATCAGTTTATTTCTTCTCTGTGTTTAGACTACTGAGAAAAGAGTTTCGTGAAAAAAATTGGCATAACGTGCAGACGCCTCAGTTCGAAGCAGGGAATTTCAAAACAGTGCTATTTGGAACCTCTCAAGGTACTCATCAAATTCATGCATTTAAGTAAGCGTGTTAAACAATCTGATTTGAGCTATCAATCACATAGTGCGTGGGCCAATGTCAATGATAAGTCAATGATAATTTTGATGTAGCGGCTGCACTAAAGTCTGGTATAATAAAGGCAAATGAAAGCCTTCGTCGGGGTCCCCATGAACCGTGCGAAGCTAATCTCGTATTTGGTTTGAAAAACAATGGACAAATTATAGATGCTCTTACAAGTAGAGCGTGATTTGCCGTCACGAGTTGATGTATACGTTTCTCTATTGGGACACAATTCGTTTTAAACTCATCAGAAAGCTGAACATATCTTAATCGCGACTTTTATTTTTAACAACCATACAATATTTCTTTAGTCGAGCAGGCCGAAGGAGGAGTAGAGATCTCTGAAGTTATTTCTACCGAAGAATTCGTCCTTAGTTCTGGGTCCGTGCAAGGTTTGAGATCAGGGTGTTACCTCGTCTATAAAGCAACTGCATCAGAGCAGAGTATCAAGAAAGGATCCTCGTCCCCAGATTATTTGGGTACTATTGCTGTCAAGGAAAGTCAAATTCAAAGCACACATGCAATTGGATCGTCAGATAGACCTCAACCTAAGATTACTGTAAGTACTCCATACGTAGCCCTCAACCTAAGATTACTGTAAGTACTCCATACGTTGATCTCAACCTAAGATTACTGTAAGTACTCCATACGTTGATCTCAACCTAAGATTACTGTAAGTAC